CTCTTTTAACCCTTTTTCAGCCTACCAGGAACCAGTAGTTGGGGCGTGCGTTAGGACCCTCCAAAGAAAGTCCAGAAAGACTCAGGAATTTATATTTAAAGTATGGACACACCCCGAAGGGATCTGCGGTCTGACTTAAAGCCGCCTCCCTAGTCTTCCTGGAAGACACGTTTAAACTCGAGCACTGCCATTTTTCCTTTCCATTCTCATTCTTCTTTTTAAATCATAACTTAAATCTTTTAAATAGACCTTATGACCCAGCTAAAATGAAGCAAAACTCACAGCTCTAAATTACCGTTCCTGGAAGCTAATCATTCGAAGTGCGTCAAAATCAGTTGACGTTTCTCGTCTATTCACCTTGACAGAAAATATTTTAAGCAAAAGGGGGTGGGAATCTCCCCGAAAGCGGGTTGAGGAGGCCCTTTCATGCCTCCCATCTGATCCCCCCCCCCCCGCTTCTCCCCGGAAAAGCTAGGGCTGCAAACACGTTCTGAGTGTCTTTAAATGTCCCGGGAAAAGGGCTCTGTGGGCGGAGAATGTCAGTGTCCGTCACTGTTGACCTAGGGAATGTCGTCCTCCATAGACAGAATGAGGTGATCAGCGAACCGCCACCCCCAGCGCCCGGAGGAGGGAGAAAGAACGCAGCCAGCGAAGGCATTCGCAGCCCTTTTGTGCCTTAGAGCGTTGCTTTCCCATTCCTTCAAAGCGCTTGTTCTTAGGTCAAAATGCGAACAAAACAGCTGGCCGGACACTACACCCTTTTGGACCACCCCTCACCACCGGTTCAAGTCCCTGGAGAGGAAGTCTTTTTTTTTTCCCTCCACCCCCATTCTTGTAAACATCACCCCCTGGGAGTATTAAGATAAAAAGAGTGAAAACCACAAATGAAAAATAATCAAATATTGCTTCTGAAAAGCCAAGTTAAAAGGGCAGCTATCATCCGTCCAAATTCTTAGGAGAAGAAAGGAGTGGGAGAAATCCGCCACCACACAATCCCCCCGCCAGGCAAAACAACGGTGACTGCCAAGAGGGATGAAGGGGACCCAGCCCGGGCCCGAGGCAAGGGGCAGCCAAGCACGGGAGGACCCAGGCAAGGCCCTAACGACGGGCGCTGTCCTCGGTGCTGAAGCCTGTCCCTTGACTCAAAACTCGATGCTCCAGAACTAAGTGGGTCTCAGGGCCCTCCGTTTTTACGAATCTTGAGTTGCAGCAGGAGAAAATCGGAGATTAACTCAATCGTAAGTTCCTCGGTCTACCTTTCTCCCTGACTCACCGGATACCATCCTCACGAGTGTAAAGATAATACAAATCGAAAGGTCACTAACACCCGTTCAATTGATCACTACTATTCATTCATACACTTTCACACTAAAGATAAGCGGGAGCCTTCATTCTTTTCCTCCCCATTACAAAGAAGGGAGCAGAGGAAGAGGGGGCACCTCAAAGATGGACCCAGACTGGTTTAATTTGAGATGTCCACTGTTGTAATATATATATATATACATATACATATACATATATATATATTCTTTCCAACATGGTTGTTTTTGCTAAAGCGCTAGGAGTGAGGTCTTTGAATCCTGTGGTCAAAGACAGACATGGCTAAAAATTTCTCCATCTAGTGCCACAGGTGAAGCGAAGGCACATTCTTTTACGGGGACTCTTGGGGGAAGGTTAGGAAAACAGAAGAAGGCAGGGACCTCAGCAGAACTGTAGGCATTTAGGCTCAGGAGGATTTGCTGCTTCCTCCCTTCGGGCCAGTGGGTCTTGAGTGATTAAGCAGTGGCACCCAGCGTCCTGATTGGTGTCACTGTATCTTTTAACGAAGGCCCGAGCAGGGGGCGTGGAAGTTCACCTCCTCATAAACAGTTTCAAGATATTCCGAACAACCATGAGGTGCGCGGTTTGAGAGGACATCTCCTTCAGGAAACACACACACACACACACACACACACACACACACACACACCTGGGAGCTGTGGTATGGTGGGACTTCGTTATGGCTCAATTCACCCTTCGGATGCGTTTTATTTTTATAAAGTGCAGGAGCTTTTCTTTTCTCTTTTTATATCAGGCAGAGAGAAAGCAGCAGTATTTTCTTTGGTAGCAGGAGCAATGCTATTATTTCAGTCTCTTTTGGTGAACACACGGTATTTTCCAGCCCTAAAACTTAGAACTTCCTCATGGAAATATTAGTAATTCATACATTTTTTCCGTTGCTTGGTGATGAAAATTGGTAAGACAGTCAAAGAAAGGGGATAGGCCTGAGGTAACCCAGACGTGCGCAAAAGCATAAATAAACCCTGTCTGCTGCACCACAATGTGAGAGAAATCACTATGAAAAGCGACCACGGAGTATTTCCTATCTATCACCCAGACAAACCCAAAGATCAAGTTTGTTTTACCCTCAAAGAGTAAGAAACGGAGGGAGAGCAAAGTATAGCCAGGAGGTAGCTGCAGGAAGGCTTGTAAAGGCCACTGAGTTACAGAGCTAGGCGGGCATCTCCAGGTGTCGTCTGGGGCGCACCAGGAAAAACCCGCAGCCAGCACAGAGTCTCTAAGTGTTTGGCGCCCTCTGGTGGATATTTTCCAGTTACCGCCTTTTTAAGCCGGGGGACTTCACCCAGCTCAGCAAGATGCTTAAATATTGCTGAGAGGATCTTTAAACGCCTTGAAACTGAAATTGAAAAGGAGTGAGGAGAGTGGGCCAAGGCAAGCAGTGCTGGCCTGCTTCCAGGAGCCACCTCCACTCCACGCTCGAGTTCCCCAGGCGTGTGGAGTGGCACTCGTGCGTGTTATTAACCTTCAGACATGATCAATCACGAAGATCTCGTTTCCCTTCCTCAAGGGAAGGGCTCAGAGAAAGAGTGAGGGGACCCCTTTCCTCTGATGGCACCAGGTACCAGTTCGAACGAGGTAGTTTTGGGGATGCCTCTAACTGGATGAAGAAACTGGAGTGAGGACCTGGGTGGTCCCCTCCTCTCGGTCTCTGTTTTGCCCTTACAGTAACCCTGACTCAGTAGAGCGCCCTCCACAGAACATCACTCATAAAAAAAACCCGTGGAGGGTCGTAGATCCTGGGGCAAGCACAGGAAAAGGATTAAGGGGATGTTGATCTCTTCTTAATCACCACTAATTTCTTAGCTCCAGCCGCCCAGCATCAGCAAAGACTATGCTAGTCTTCAAGAAACGGTAAGGGGGCGTAGGCAAAGAGGACAAGAAGCGCCCAGTGAGACAGAATCCTTGGTAGGAATTATCCTTCCCCTGCTCTCACCCAACATTGCCCATCTCAAAAAAAAAAAAAAAAAAAAAAAAAAAAGTGTGCTGAGTAGGTTTTGGATTACTCATAGGACTTTGTTTTCCCCCTTCTGATCGAAAACCCATGAGCTGGATTTATGATCGCCCTATAAAGCTCCAGAGGCGGTCGGACACCTGCAAAGGAGCCCCACCGCTCAGCGGACCAGCTGCCCCCGCGAGCAGCAGCCTCGTGATTCCCCCCGCCGAGCGGGTCCCCGCCTCCCCACTCCGCCCCCGCCTCCCCCAAGCCCAGAGGCCGCCTCTCCGGATCTCTGTCTTCTCCAGGCTCTCGCGTGCCGGACCAGGGATCGTGCGAGCAAGGAAGCAGCCTGGGGTGACACCCAGCACAGCACGTACGCCAAAGGCTGAGCCTGAGACAAGCCAGGGACTCTTCGCAGAGGAGCCACCGGCGAGATCGCTGAACCAAGGTGGGTAAATACGGGATCTCCCTGACTGGCAGTGGTTATTCAACCAGGTCCTCTCAGCCTGAGGCTTCTTGTCAAGCCCTACCCCACCGCACCCTACCCCGCGCGCGAGCCTGGCGCCCACCTTCCACAGCCTGCTTCCCGCCAGTCCGGTCGCAGCTGTCTTTTGACGCCCCCCCGGGTCCTCCTCACTCTTGCGATCCTTATCAATGGTTTCTTCCGGAGGACACATAGGAGCTGAAGTGACACCAGAGCCATTTTCTCTGGGCTTCGGGGACCGAAGCTCACGGCTCTCGGATACGCGCCTGGGTAGCAGCGGCAGAAGGTGCGAGGAGCGATAACCTGTTACTTCCCCAGCACCCGCGTTCCACCGTCGTCCGCGGAGCTTCGAGAGCGCGCGCGGGGACAGAAGCTCAGCCAGAGGGTCGACGCGCAAGAGGCGGCTGGTGGGCTGCGCTCTGCGGGGTCTTAGATTTATCCAGATTCCCCCCCCCCTCTCTCTCTCGCTCTCTCTCTCTCTCTCTTTCTCCCTTCCTCTCTTCCTCTCTCTCCCTTCCTCTCTCTGTCCGCAAGCAAGTACCAAGTAGAGACTCTGAGCATTCATTCAGCTCTTCAACTCTATCCGAGGTCTCTAGCGCCCAGGGCGCAAGTTCACCTCCCCTTTGTACCCTCGGCCACCTTCTCTGGCGCAGGGAGGTGAACTCTGAGGACTAGATAGAGTAGAAACGGCGAATCTGGGACGCTGCCTTGCCCTAGGCTGGGGATAGCTAGAAACGAGGTGAGACAAGAAGCCGGCCAGTAAGGTTCCGACCCGCTGCCTTTCGGCTGTCTGGAGTACAAGGTGACTGTTTTCATGACGGGTCAAGTCCTAGGGAAAAATGAAAACAAAATATGAATCCCTTTCCCCTCTCACCTTGTCTCATCAAAGTCTCTGTCCCCGGCGCTGTGGACCTCCTTCTTTCCAAGGAATTAGCCAGACACAACAACGGGAACCAGACACCGACCCAGACGTACCCGCCCCGCGCGCCCTCCCCTTGTCTGCGGGTCTGCCGAGCTGCTTGGAGCCCAATGGGGCTTGTCTCGACTAGGCTGGAATTCACTCGAAGAGTGCTCCTAGCTCCGTCCCCACCCCAACCCCCGCGTCCTGCACCCGCCTCGGGAGCCCCTTAGCTCTGAGCCTCACTCGGGGTCACCCCTTTGAGCCTCCAGACTTGAGAGTCGCTCTGGGCTACTGTGCCTGCGCCCCAGTCTCGGAGCTAGCTAGTGCCTCCCCACCCCCTCCCACCGACAGCGCACCAGGACCCAGCCAGCTCGTTGCCCTTGGTCTCCCTTCCGTCTCCGAGACTTCTGTGACCCGGACCACAGGACCCAGAAGCTCTCCACAGAACAGCTCTCCCTTCTGTTTGCAGCCTGTTCCTGCATCTAACCCGCTGGGACCCTTGAACCGTAGAGACCCCGGGACCACCGAGCTGATGGCATCTTCCGCTCCTTCGTCTGCAACCTCCTCGAACGCGGGAGCAGATCCTAATACTACCAACCTGCGCCCTACAAGTAGGTCCTGCCCCAGTTTCCTATTAAATGGACTGCAGCGGGGGTGGGGGCGCTGGGACCGCGGGAGGCTGCGCTCTCCGAACGCTAAAGGAGAGAGTGGAAATGATGGAGTCTGGGAAACAAATGGGGCGCTACCCCAGGTTCCAGCTTAGAGGTCATTTGGCTGCCCAGGACACGAGGTTACTCCCAGGGCACCGAGGGGCAAGGACTTCACAGGGCCCGCAGCATAGATCCTTGGGGTCTTGGCTGCGCACAAGGCGTTGTGTTGTTGTTGTTTTGTCTGATGGGACAACAGGGGTCAGAACAAGGGGGCGGTGTGAGGAACCCAGAGTCCCAGCAAGAACAGATGTTTTTTGTTTTTTTTGTTGGTTTTTTTTTTTCCCCTCTAGCTTTGAGCTAAGACCTGACCTCCTCCTCTCCTCTCCCTTCCCCGCCCCCCAGCGCTGTACTCACAGTCCATAATCAGGGGAAATTTCGACGTTAATTGCAGCTTTTAGAAAACTCAGGGTCCCTAATTGCTCCAAATTTGTGTCTAGCTATTGACGAGTAAGGGCGAAGCCAGGGGCGTGAAAGGTGCACAAAATTGCTTAGGTTCAATTAATTACATCTTAGAGACAAAAAGGGCGAAGGCGGGGGTATTAGGCATCATCCGGAGTGGCAAGATGTATAGAGGGTGCTAACTGGGAGGAGAAATGGCTTGCTAAACCCGAGGCAACAGCACCCCGTGTTTCTTCCTGTCAGCAGGTGACAGTCTGGGGGAGAACAGAGAAACCAGATAAAGGGGCATTTATGCTTCTCCACTCTATCTGTCTCTAATTCAGAGTGACTTTCTGACTCCATATAGAGGAAAGGAGAGCGGGATTTGTTTGTCTTTTATCCATATTGGGGTGAAGCCTTTCCCAACCCCTCTTTCACAAACCTGTCAAGCTCCAGATAGCTCTGGCCCCAGAATCTCTAGAGGGGAGCAGCTGAGGGGAATCGGTGTGGTCCAGAGTACTCAGTGCTGCGTTTTTAAGGGCACTTACTGTAAGCCTATGAAAACAATTGTTCCCATCAACGCAAGTGGCAAGAAGGCAGGACCCCCCCCCCCAATCTCTTGGTGCAGACTCAGGGGCAGGAGGCCCTAATTCCTCAGGCCACCTTGCAGTTCCCTTAACAGCCTCCTCTTCCCTCACATAGGCAGGCTACAATTACACACAACAAAGCGCGGCTCTGGAGAATCATCAGGGCTGGCTGCACTGATTGGTAGCGGAGCCAGCGGTGGGAGCTGGCCTGGCAGAACTCCGAGGCCCGCGCCCCTTTTGTCTGTTGATTGGGCCTGCACGGATCTCTTTCCCAGTCCTCCCCACCTTATTCCAGTTCTCATCCCCACAACACAGACTTTTATTCCCTCTCCTTCAGGGTTTGGGGCAAACCACCACACTGGATACCCCTACATCCTACATGTAGATCACCCCAATCCTCAGATGTCCAACCTCATCAAAGGCGAGGCGATGGACTGAGTCCACACGAGGCGTGGTGCCTCTGAAAACCACCTAAATGGTGGCCAGAGATTGTAGGACCCCCTCCGGGGAGAATATTCCTTCCCTAGGAACACCTACCCTTAACTGGGAAGCCCGGGAACGCGGGTCCCTTGCTCAGTCCACTTTCCACCTTCCCGGAAGACACACCCCCACCCGCCCAGCTTGCTGTGGGTCTCAGCCTCTGCTGGATCCTCTGTAAAGCGTCCCTTCCGCTCTTGTATTAACCTTACACACCTAATTCCAGCAATCCCCTAGCAGGCAGGAGCTCTCCCGCCTATCAGAAAAGGTATTCTCAACTGCCACAACAAAGGGGCTCTCGCTCACCTCTCTTCCTGTTTTCCTGTTTTTATTAACGCCTAACTTGAAGGAGAAACGAAACAAAACTGGAATGTTTCTGACCGCCAACCTCAGGCCAAGTGACCTTGGGAAACTCTAACCTCTCTGAGCAGAAATGTTTTTGTCACCTGAGTCTTAGACCCACACTCCTGAGTGTTTCGTGTGTGGTTTTTTTGTTTGTTTTGTTTTGTTTTTTGATGGTTAGATGAGATGATGTTTAAAGAGAAAGCACAGATGTCGAGAAAAAGGAGTTCTATGCTCCGGGTACTATTATTAGGGTTTTGCTGTTGCATGGATTTCCTGTCTGTCAGTGGAATTCCATCTGTGACATACTGTCTCACGACGTCAGACCGTCAGCCTGTTTCTTCTACCCTCTGGGGCTCTGTTGTGCCTAGGGTTTAATGGATGTCACTCGGCTTATCTCAGCCAACACTCGGGCACCGCTGGAGGAGCGGCCCGGGTGGGGGATGGGAAGGGGATTTCTCCTTGGGCCCACCCTACACGAGGGCTTCTCAGGGCAGCAGGCTGCCTCCTTGCATTCTTTGCTGGGAGTTAACACTCCTGCAGCCCGAGGTTGGTTCACACCGGGAAGAGGTGTCCGCATCTGCCTGCTCCAATCTCTAGAAGTCAGAAAGAAGGGTTAAAGAGGGGCAGGTTGCAAAGGGGGTTGGGAGTGGGCTGAGGGCAGGACGACTGGGGCACCATTGTCTTTTCTACTCCCCAGTCTGGCTGGAGCAGCCATGCGAGTCCGATCATCTAGTCAAATACTATTTTTCACCCAATTAATTTCTGAACTCTTCCGCGACCCCATTTCATGCCAGTTTATTTTAAGCTGCCACTCAGCTGGAGACCCGCCAAGAAATTATGAGACGTTTGGGTCCCAGATGCCTCTATGTTCCCTATCTGAGCTGCTATATTGTCCCCTTCAAGTCCCGGGGACTGAGATCTGGGGCTGGGCCTGCTGGTGGGTGCTGAGCCATGCAAGCGCCAAGGCCATCTTCGTGTGTATAGTTAGCCTCTGCCTGGTGAAGACCGCTTGAGGGTGGGATCCGTGGCTGAGAGCTCCATTTCTCCAAAACACAGTTCAGTACCAGAAGTGAGCAGGCATGGTAAGAGCTGGGAGCTCGGTCAGTGAACCAAAGATGTAGAATAGGTAGCTCCGCGTTCCTCGGGAACACCACAGATGCGCTGGAAAGGACCCCCACAACCCTCGCAGAAACCTTTGCAAAACCTTTGCGCTCTACCCAGTTTCTCGCCGGCCTAAACCTTGCTAATTTGTTTTTCCTGTCTCTGCCCCTAGCATATGATACTTGGTGTGGTGTAGCCCATGGATGCACCAGAAAACTGGGCCTGAAGATCTGTGGTAAGTGAACAGGCCCTCAGGGGGTGGGTCTCCTCTCATGTGCCAGGGGGTTTGTAGGATTGTCCGGCATCCGTAGGGGGATCCTGAAACCCTGGGCTGGTGTTCCGTTTTACAGTCCTGGCGCCCAATGGAGGCGGTCACTTGGAGGATCTGGGACCTCACTCAGCAGCAGAGGTCTTCCCCTTTTGGTGACCCAATAACCAGAAAACGCTTAGATATGGGCACTCATTTCGCCCAGTAAGGCCTCTCGGAAGCAGGGATACAGCACCCCCAAGCGGCAGCCAGGCTGTTCTCGCCGACGCCGGGCTGCTTGTATTAGTGCCTTTCTGCCCTCAGTCTGTAAAAATCTCACGCACGCACGCGCACACACACACACACTCACACACAAATGCGAACTAGTCTGAATTTCCGGGCAAACAGACCAAAGAAGCAATATTTGTCAAGGCTGCTATTGATCCCTGGCTGAAAGGTTCCCCAGCTTGAGGGTTTTGCACCGAATTGTCACCTTGATTCAAATTTCGTTCTTGGGGCTTGTGGGGAGTGTGGCAAGAAAGGAAAAGGATTGCCTGCTTAGGCGAAATGCGAGAAGCGAGGGACGGACGGTTTGTTCTGCAGGTCTTCGACGGCAGAAGGAAGGAAGGGAGCTGCAGTGAAGGAGAGGACGGTGGGGGTGGGGGGCGGCTGTCTGACAGAATTTGCCAGCAGGGAAGGAAAGCAGATCTGAGTAGGGGAGAGGAAAAGGAGCGAGAGGGTCTGAAATGAAAAACGCCCAAGGGATGTAATTTTTTTTAAAGGAAAAAAAAAAAAAAAACCCAGGAGATTTGCGCGAAGGGACACAGATGAGTGGCTCCGTCTGAACAATGAGGATTTGCTTTCCTGACCACATTTCACCGTCTAAAATTCTCTAGCCTTATCGGGCCAGAAAATACGGGTGTCCCCGGGCAGGGGATAGAGAGGCGGGGGAAGATTAACGAGGGGCTTATTAAAGAGCCATCAATCAGCTGCTGCGCGAGATAGCAGCGGAGCAGCCCTGAGCTCCGCCCCCATCCTGGGGAGCGCAGGGACCCGGAGGGGAATGGGTGCTGTCTAGGCCTGACCTTCCCGCCTCTCCAGCTCCTCCTCCCTCTGGCCCTCAGGTTGTAGATGTTTAGACTCGGTGGAGAGAGTGGTCATTTAGGGCCTTGGGAAAACAGCGATGTTTGGCCGCACATCGTCCTCCTTGCATGGGGGCCCTGGATCCCTGGATCCACTATTAACGGAGCCGGAAACAAGCTCAGTTGCAAGAGCTACAACATATGCAGGAAAAGCCCAGCCCTGCGGCCATAGGACCCAGCGGCTTAGAAACCCAGTCCCCAGCAGGCAAAACTGGTGGGCCACACCAGAAGCGGTATGCTGAAGCAATCAACAGCCCAGAGCTTTGTTCTATTAATAGCCCCCTTCCCACCCCCACCCAGCCATTGCTGGCTTAATGGTCCGTTTCTGCCTGGTCCCTTTTGGCGTCATGGTTCTCGCCTTCTGCTGCTGTCATTGTCATGCAATCCGGCAGCAAGCAGAACGAAAGAGCCTGGGAGGTGAGATGCCGCGGGTAGGGACAGGGTCCAGGTGAAGGCCACTTCCCCCCCCCCCCCGTGGGGGCTAGGGTTTGAAGGCACAGTCTCTATGCTGCCTCCTCCCGCTCTTGATACTGGTCCTTGGAAAGAAAGGTCCAAATGTTCGCTGCTGAGACAGACCCGATGTCCTGAAGGGAAAGGGACCAGGATAAAGTCAGGACTCCTTTGAGACCAGTATCAGGGCTCTAAGTTGTCTTAACATTTTTGCCTCCTCTGAAAACCCATGCGATGAGAGAGAGTTTGGGACATTGGGGCGGTGGCTGTCATCCATAAAGAGATTCCTCTCTGTACACACACACACACACACACACACACACACACTTACTTTGAGAGAAGTTGTAAACTAAGTGACAGGAGGGGAGCAGAGGACAGTACTGTTGGAAAATTACCCTTTACTAAAATGCTGTCCCTTTGGGGGGGCACAGGGCTTCCCACCAGGCTTGATGCTGAAAGAAGACAAAAACAATGTAAGGATTCATTTCCCATATTTTGGGCCACCTCTGGCTTTCCATTGTAAGCTAGTGGAAGGTAGAATGCACTAGTCAACTAGTGTTGACCCTGAATCTGCAGCCCAGACTCCAGCCCATTCCCAAACTCCTCTCCAGACCTTAGCAACCCCAGGTTTGCACCTTATTGACCTAAGACCAACAAGATTGGCTTAACAGCCAAGGATCTAATGGTCTCTTTCTACCTTCAAACCCATCACCCTGGATGGGCTCCTAAGCATCTTCACGACTTGTTGAGATTCAGCTCTCACCCACCCCTTACCCCCTCCTTCTTACTCCAGGGAACGAAGCTGTAAGGAGTCCCTAGTCATATCCTCAGCTCTAGAGGCAGAACCCCCTGGGAGAGTAATCAGATGGAAGAAACCCAAGGTTCTGCCAAGAGCTGGAGAGTGGCTGCAGGCATGGTGGCATGACCTAGATAGAGTAAGTGGCTAGCATGCCTAAGCTCTGCCAGTTCTTCATCATGTCCTTGGTCATCCATCACTTATCAGTGGAGAGGTCCAAAACTCGCTGCCCAGACAGTCCCTCCACGCTCGTGTTTTAAGTTTTTAATCAATTTCCTTTTTTAAGGATAGAGATGCCTCAAACACTCCATATCTCTGGTTTCTTGTGACAAGCATAGGGCATCTGTTAATATGCCCTGTGTCCATAAAAACAAAAAAGGAGCTCCTTTCCCGAAGCGGCTTGGTGCTGGGTTTCAGCATTCCCTGTGCCTGGTGAGCATGTGTCTTTTTGCCACACCTAGCTTGGAGCTTCACTTGCAAACACCTGTCTGGAACATGGTGCTCTCTGATTCCACGCAGCTCTCTGGAGCCCTGGCCTTTGAGTTGGAGAATGAGAATGAAGAACACCCAGCATCCCAGAGGGGGATGTCCTCCCAGGCTGCTGCTGTTCATCTTCATTTGAGCGGGAGTGATGGCCATCTATAGCTTGAACCAACACAAGCTGCAAGCTTTCTCTCCTGTGCCAGTTACTCACAGGCCAGGACTAAATCCTGGTAGCTGGGGTACAGAGCAAGAGAGAATATAGGGTGCTTCTGGGAAGTTTCAGGGACCCCCTAGCCAGGACCCCTTGTTAGTCAGACCACTGTTAAAGCATTCATGTCAGTATCATCCTCCATTTAATTTATCACCGCCCCCCTCGCCATTCTTGGAGAAGCAGACTGCTCCTTGCAGGGCTCCTTGCAGGGCCAAGAGGAGCTTGGATCAGATGGTAGAGACTACAGTTGGACAGGACCACCCTTCACTGAGCCACGTGGATTTGGTTTCTCCAGCCAGACATACTCTATCTAAATCACTGCTCTGGACAAAGAGAAACAGTGCCAGGGGCCAGGACCCTACAACCCTCTAGTGAACGAGTGTTGCCTCCTGGCTCTGGACTCTTGATTATGTCTTAAGAATCTTAGTGTCTACAAAGACAGCTTTGAGAACAGGGTACACCGTTTGATCGGGGGTGGGGGGGCATGCTCCAGGTTAGCAGGTACTCAGTCTGTTGGGTTCACCCCTGCTTCCTGGAGTGCTGCAGGGGGTATTTGCACTGTCTACCATGGGTGAGATCTCTTCTCCTTCTTAGGGGAAGTGATGGGGTGCTGTGAACCCCAGCCTGAGCTCAGAGTTCATTTCAGTATGCTTCTTGGATAGCTTCCTGGAAGTACTGTGACAGAGGTGGCCAGATGCCAGACTGGCTTCCAGAGGATTGGAGATTGGTCTCACTTCATCTGCCTCATTCTAAATAAATAACAAACTTCTCTTCTACGAGTGCTCCATAAGTACATAGAGCTTAGCTAAGCCCATGTCAAGGCTGGAAGATGCTGAGGCTTTCTTGTCTTTTCTCTAATGCTTTCATCAGTGGAGATGGGTAGCTCAGGAAGAGCTGCACTTCATATCTGAGTAAAAAATATTATGCCTCCGATATATACCTGATGCCAGGGGGGAAAAAAGACATCTTACTTAACTTCCAGGACCTCATCCTTCTTCCCTCTGCTGTCCTCACCCTCCTCCCTCTGCTGCTCTCACTCTCCTCCCTCTGCTGCCCTCACCCTCCTCCCTCTGCTGCCCTCACCCTCCTCCCTCTGCTGCTCTCACCCTCCTCCCTCTGCTGTCCTCACCCTCCCTCTACTGTCCTCACCCTCCTCCCTCACTGTCCTCACCCTTCCCTCTGCTGTCCTCACCCTCCTCCCTCTGCTGTCCTCACCCTCCTCCCTCTGCTGTCCTCACCCTTCCCTCTGCTGCTCTCACCCTCCTCCCTCTGCTGCCCTCACCCTCCTCCCTCACTGTCCTCACCCTTCCCTCTGCTGTCCTCACCCTCCTCCCTCTGCTGTCCTCACCCTTCCCTCTGCTGCTCTCACCCTCCTCCCTCTGCTGCCATCACCCTCCTCCCTCTGCTGTCCTCACCCTCCTCCCTCTGCTGCCCTCACCCCTCCCTCTGCTGTCCTCACCCCTCCCTCTGCTGTCCTTACCCTCCTCCCTCTGCTGTCCTTACCTTCCTCCCTCTGCTGTCCTTACCCTCCTCCCTCTGCTGCCCTCACCCTCTTCTCTCTGCTGCCCTCACCCTCCACTCTACTGTCCTCTTCCATCTTCCATTGGTCATCACCCTCCTCCCTCTCCTGTCCATTGGTTCCACAGACCACAAACCCAATGTTGTCAGCATCCTCTCTGGATCCCTTCTTCCCAAACCTCATCCTGGGGCTGGCTTCCACTGGAGTGGAAGCTGTCCAGTCAACTTAATTCAGTTTGTTGACACATTCAGAGAGGATATGGGGCTCACTTGCTGCTTTTCTCTCCTGCATGACTGGGTCTGTGCCACTGATGACACTTGACAGAGCCCCTCCCCGCCTGAAGGCAAACCGTGCAGAGTCACCGGGTATAAACCACGGACACTCAGTGGCTTCTCTTCTCAGCAAAAGCGAGAGCTCCGCTTGGCGGGTCAGCCAGGTCTGGCAGCTGCCCTTTGGTGGCTGGGTAGTTCCCAGTCTCTCTGACCTACCTTCTCGTGCTTTAGGTTTCTTGCAAAGGACCAATAGCCTGGAAGAGAAGAGTCGCCTTGTGAGCGCTTTCAGGGAGAGGCAGTCCTCCAAGAACCTGCTTTCCTGTGAAAACAGTGACCCGGGTGCACGCTTTCGTCGCACAGAGACTGACTTCTCCAACCTGTTTGCTCAAGGTGGTCCCTCCCCAACCCCCACCCAGCCTTGCCAGTGGGTGCCTCATTTGAGTGTCTTGATTCACCCCCCCCCCCGAAATTTTACTTCTTTGACTAAGAAATGCCATTATTCTGTGAACCTCCATGAAACCTCCTTTCTGACCTTTGTGAGGGCCAGACTCCCTCCTTCCCTACTGCCCAGGTCCCTGCTGTTTTGAAAGGTAGATGATGGAAGTCTGTAAATCATTCAATTCTAAAAACACTCTCAGAGACAAATGGGGGCACAAAGAATCTCAGACTCTAAAGGAACCTTACAATCAGAAAATCGAATGATTCTCTTAATAGCATTTATCCTCCAAGATTACCAACCCCCAAACATGTACTTTGGGGCTCAGGATGGGAGACTCATTTTCTCTTGAAGCTCCTTTGCTAGCGCCCCCTGCTGGCCCTACAATGCAGGCCTTGGGGGTGCTTTACCAGGCTCCTTGGCAGCTCACAGGTACTCCTCCCTCCATTAGCTCCTATACAACCACAGAAAGCACAGCTTCTAAACCTCTGAGACAGTCATGCAGTGGATGGCCACACAACCTGCACTTGTGCAATCCTGGAAACATCACTCAGGGGCCCCAAGAGCTCTTCTCTTTCCTGCTTACCCCTCTTTCTAATTCTGATCTACAAAGCTGAGAGCCCAAGTCACCTCCAGACACTTAAAAAAAATATATATACATACACATATATATGTATACATGTATGTATACATATATGTATATATGTATGTATGTATGTGTGTATATATATATAGTCCCCAAAGGATGAAGTCAACAGAAAGGTGGTGGTCCCTCTGTCCCCTTCTAGAGCCCATATCCACAGCAGCCCCACCTTCTGCTATCCCAGATCAAGCAAATTATTAATACCAAACCAGATGCACAGGGACACCTGGTCCCTAGGAGGCCACAGAAGTACTTTACACCGTGTTCCTCCCAGGTGTCCATTCAGCAAATGGACAGCTGCCAGGGTCAGCTGCTCAAGGTTTCTCTAAGCACTCCACTCTTCCCCCATAGGAGCAGTCCTGACTATCAGGAAGTGTACAACGCCCCAGGAATGCATTAATGACTCTGTGAGCAGAAGTGCATCTGGAGACTAGATCCCTATCCTGGAAAGCAACTGAGCCCCTCTGGAGGCTGACCGGGGAGACACGGGTACTAGGCAGGAGGTAATCAATCACTCTTTGGCTTCCCTTCTCTGGTTAGATCTGCTTCCGGCTAAGAATGGGGAGGAACAAACTGTGCAGTTCCTGCTGGAGGTGGTGGACATACTCCTCAACTACGTCCGCAAGACGTTTGATCGTTCCACCAAGGTGCTGGACTTCCACCACCCACACCAGTTGCTTGAAGGCATGGAGGGCTTTAATTTGGAGCTGTCTGACCACCCTGAGTCTCTGGAGCAGATCCTGGTTGACTGTAGAGACACCCTAAAGTACGGGGTTCGTACAGGTAAGCGTGAGGACATCTCACCTAGCTGGTCAGGAGCATAGCCAAATCAGGTTGAAGAGCTGTGTCCTTATGAGCTCAGTGACCCAGCGCTCAGTGACCACTAGGCCATGCTGGGCCACAGTGGTTGGAGCAGTAACCCTGGCAATAGCCCATTTCTTTTAGAACTAAAAGGTACAGGTACATGGTAATAGGTCATTCTATTGCTTATTTTTGTTTCACACCGTTCATAGTCTACAGAGATAGAGAGGCGCATTCCTTTTGTCTTTTCTCAGGTCCACCTCATTCTGGGGAGCCCTAACCTCCCTTACCTGGCACTGGCACTGGGGCACTGGCCCGTTTCCCTCTCCTTTGGTGTCAGTTTCTAAGGGCTGTCATTACAGATGATCACAAATGATGGGGATTTATTCTTTCTCAGTTGTTGAGGCCAGAGCCTTCCAAATCAAGGTGTCGGCAGGGCCATGGTTTCTTCGAAGGCTCTCAGAAAAGACCCACCCTTGCCTTTGTGGCTTCTCGTGCTCCTGGGCATTTTCCTTGGCATTCCTTGGCTTGTAGTTGCCTCACTGTGGCCTCTTGTTTGCATCTGCAAAAACCCTGTTGCTAAGTAGAGTCACAGCCACAGGAGCAAGGGATCGGGCCTTGAATTCACCTTTATGAGGAACGCAATTCAATCCAAAGCCCCTCTTCCTTCCCCTCCCCCTCCCCCAATTACATCATATTCCAAATGAGTCACCGTGTCCTATTTCCTACTTAGAGATTGTCCTTTCGCCCCCTTTTCACCTTTCCCAGGTCCTCTCTAATCAGCGACCCTGGCTCAAGTGGTTACTTTAAAATCACACCAAGTCCAAAGACATTTTCAACCTCTGTAGGAGCTGTTTCTTAGTCCTGAAATGAAGAACAGCTTCTCTGCCTGGAGACTCTCTTCCCCACCCTGCCTGGCTCTAGAGGGGCCTTAGGCAGACAGATCTTCAGGACTTAAGGGTCCTGGGCACAGTCACCACCACAGGGAGAAGCCTGGGGGTGAGGCATGTTCTGTCTGTCTGTCTCTCTCTGCCTCTATTTCCTCTCATCTAAATCCCTAGGCGTTAGATTGACATCAAGATCAGGGAGGCTGGTGGCAATAAAGCTGAGTAAGATGACTGGGTGTGGGGCACAAACTGTTGTAATGAACTAATGAGGCCAACCAAAGAAGCTGTTTAAATCAGGAATCCCAAGTAGCTTTTGAGGTCAGCCAACACCTCTGGCCTAAGTATAGTCTCATTTTGTAATTACTGGATAGACCAGACTCGATCACACGCACAAAGTCTGTCTTGTTTGTTGAGGAAAAGCACTCATCGGTTCAGCTCCACTCCCCCCCTTTGGTCTGACGGCCAGCCCATTCCTGAGGGGAAGAAGTGCTGCTTGGCTGGCTCACAAGAGAATCACAGCTCCCTGTTTCAGCTTGACTCGCTTTGTCCAATGCTTGCATCTGGTCCGTTTGTTCTACACACTTTCTTTGTGTTAGGCAATCTATCTATCTATCATCTATCTATTTATCATCTATCTATTATCTATCTATCATCTATCTATTGTCTACCTATCATCTAGCTATTGCCTACCTATCATCTATCTATCATCTAACTATTACCTATCTATAATCTATCTCATCTATCTATTATCTATCATCTATCTATCTATCATAGAAAACACAGAACCATGCCTGTGGTCAGAGAAAGCATATGATTATCCCATTGCATATCATCAGATCACTGTATGAATCCACTGAGATGTTTAGTCTGTGTCACTTCTGATGGGCACAGCAGCTTCCAGAGGCAGACATTTGCATTTACAGAGTACATAATCTTCCACACCACATGGAACTTTCTGCTGCCCTTCACAGTGTTGGCACTGGCTAAAGGACACCATTGCTGCTGTATCAAATGCCAGCTCCTGATTGCTGGCTGATAATTTTGAGTGTACATTCAAATGATAGACTAAACCCCTGACACACATCAGAAACATTTTGAAGGATATTAGTGCCAAAATAATGAACTGGGTTCTCATGATGACTCTTAACTGCTCCAAGTACAGTCTAAGAAGGATATGGGGCATTTGGCATTGTTCTAGGAATTAACAAAGGACTCAGCACACGCTTTTCCAAGGACTGCTGCAGGGATGAGGCAGCCTTCAATCAGAGCAGCCACTTAGGGATTGCTGGCTTGTTCTTTTTTTAACTTCTCATTATGGAAATTTTGAATTTATACCAAAGTAGAATTGAATAATGAACCCATGCACCCAACACCCAGCTTTAACTATCGCCAGCTCCTGCTGGTGTCACTTCACCTGACCCCTTCTCTGCATTGTATGGAAGCAAGTCCCCAACAAAATATTATTGTATCAACACCTATCTGCACCTTCAAGAATTTCGTTTAAAAATTATGTCAGTGTTCCGGCTGAAAACAAAACAAAACAAAAAAAACAAAAAACAAAACCCAAATTCCTTCATACTATGAAATATTTCAATTGCCTCATGAATATATCAGAGCTTTTGTTGCATGTTGTTTCAGTTCTCTTGAATCAGGATCCGGTTAAATCTCTGCATACTGCAGTTGGTTTATACACATCCCATTCAATAGATTTCTCCCTGCATCTCTTTCTTCTTTGCAGTTTGTTAGAAAATCTTACTTGAAAATGACTTTCTTCCCTTACTTGAAATCAAACCATGCATTATCCAGTCTTGTCAACTGAAATCAAAATCTGAGGTTGGACCTGGCAGCATGTGCCTATAAAGCCAGTACTTAGAAGGTGAAGTTAAGAAGACCCCCAGTTTGAGGACAGTCATCTGGGCTACATAACAAGACCTAGCTATAAAGTAAAATATGGAGCAAAAGATGAGAAGAGAGGAAGTGAGGGAAGAAGGAACTGAATCTCAATAGGGTCTACTCAGTAGAAACTGTTGGAGGATTCTGCAGGCAGAGGCTGTGGCCATCTGATAAAGGGTGTTGGGGGGACAGACTGCCTCACTTTGTACCAGTCTCTGTCATGCTGTGTGGCTTTGATGCCCTATCAAATAAAGTGTGATTGACTTTATTTACAATCCAGTACTAACTCGGGATGAAATAATTGTTTTTTAAAGTTTTCAAGTGGGTACTGTATATACTTTAATGGATTTCAACAGAAGTATTTCTTTAGAATCTTTTTATTATCTGACAGTTTCATACATATAAAAAATGTGTCTTGATTACAACCGCCCAACTCCCCCTCCCACTCTCCCTGGCTCCCCTAAAAGTCCTTCTCCTACCTTCAAGTTGTCTTTTTATTTATTTATTGTTTCAAGACAGGGTTTTTCTGTGTAGTCGTGGCTGTCCTGGAACTCCCACTGTTGACCAGGTTGACCTCAAACTCACAGAGATCCACCTGCCTCTGCCTCCCTGAGTGCCAGGATTAAATGTATGTGCCACCACCACACAGCATCTTTTTTATTTTTTATAAACTGTTGAATCTAATTAGTTGTGCCTGGGTGCGGGACCTATCACCTGACTTTGGGTACCAGCAGCCATGTTCCTGAGGAAAGGGCCCCTCCTCTCCCAGGACACTGAGGGAAGAGCAGATTCTCAGGGAGGAGACTTAGACCAGGAACATTCAGCCACTAGCTCTCAGACAGTTACTCACAGACAAAGGCAGTTTCCACTGGAAACACAGCAGTCAGCAAAATCTCCCCAACACTGTCTTCTGTCACATATTCCCTAGATAATCTATAGTGGTGCCTCCTTCATGACAGCTGAGCCAAGCTTGCTGACGTGGACTTGAGTTTTTGGTAAACATCAAGTTAGCAAAACCTTGGCAATAGTCATAAGTTCGCTGAGGGCTGTGGCTGCATGGGACTTTGAGTCGCAGAATGTAAGGGTTTCTGTGCTCAGTAGCTGCCTACTCACAGAGGAGATGCTGGGTCAGCTCAGCTCTTAATCCATTTAACTCCATCACTTTAATGGACACCTAACTCTAGGTGGGCAAAGAACACTGATGCTTGCCATCACTTTTGTCCAAGAGACCAGAGAGTGGTGAGTGGTCTCCGCCTCAGGCTTGGTTTGAGCCACAGAACTCTGAGGCCCACAGCCTCCTATCCATTAGCCAATCTCAACCTGGCACTTAAAATCCTTGGGATAGTGAAGTGACAGTTGCAATAGATATGAAAAAGAGTAAGAACTAGCACACCCTTCAGTGGGTAGTTAGGAAAGGATCTTAGTTTGTAATTCAAGCTCACAAACCCCCAAGTGCCAAGATCACAGATATAAATCACCTTGCAGGGTGTGACCACATAATTGAAGAAATCTGTGTGACAGAAGAGCTCAGCTGAAAGTCAATAAATAAGATATTGGAAAGCATAGTTCATTTCATGAGTCTCAGTTTTGGGGTGTGTGCTTTTTGTTTTATTTGTGTGTGGGGGGGGTGGTATTTTGCTGCATATGGTACACTGTATATGTATGCCTGTATACCATGTGTATGCAGTGTTTACAAAAGCCAGTAGAGGGCATCAGATCACCTGGGATTGGAGTTACAGATGGTTATAAACCACCATGTGGGTGCTGGGACCTCTGAAAGAGCAGTTAACATTCTTAATCACTGAGCCATCATCCCAGACCCAATTTTCAATTTAAAAAGCACGCTGCCTTAGAAACATAGACATCTGAGGGTATCATTGGTGTTAATTCTTTCTCCAGTATCCTTGGAGAACTCTATCAGACCACAAGATGGAGATTGCATCTGTGTGACCCAGCTCTTTTGCTCTGAAGATAGTTTGAAAAGCCTGGCTTTGCCTTAATGCTTGCCTGTTGCCATTCTAGGTCATCCTAGATTTTTCAACCAGCTCTCTACTGGTTTGGATATCATTGGTTTAGCTGGCGAATGGCTGACATCAACTGCCAATACCAATATGTAAGTCTTGTGTATTCTTTTCCTACAAGTATATATGATGCATATGGCTTATTGTTAAAATGTTCAACGCTGATGGCTCTGTTATTTTTTAGTTTTTTTTTCCCACAACACCTTTTAGGTTTTTCACAAGGTGAAAAATTATTCTTGAATAATGTAATAAGAACATGCTTGTAGAAAATGATAGCTAGCTTTGAAATCTCTATGTGCACCTTCATAACAGCCCATTTCTCTGAATGCACATACTTTGAGCTGTGATTTTGGTACTTTACCACTTAGGCTGTATTTACTCCATAATTAAGCTATTATTAGCCACAAATCAGTTTGATCAACCTATTGATTAACTAAAAACCCCACAGCAACATTCATTGACAGCAGATACAGCATGTATTCATTTCAAAATAACTGATAGCTTTTGCTGAATTTAACGCTTTGGGAACTTCAACTTGCTTATGCAGACAGCATTTTCACTTAGTTCTACAGTCTTTTAAATTTATATGAAACTTATTCCAAGATTTTAGAGGTTCAAGTACAAGCAAGGTAGTCTCAGCAATCACTCCAAAGTTTCCTTTACACATGTGTGTCATCTTTGGGGGTAAAAATTATTACACGATATGGGGGAGGGGGATTACCATAGCTTCAGGATAATTATCTCTTTCCTCCCCACTAATCACAGTGTTTTACCACCATCGATGCATCCAGACAGTGGCATAGCATTCAATTAAAGTATCCAGAGGAAATTAATGAAACAAATTTACTACAATAATTTAATAACTGCACAAGAACCTTGGTGGTGGTGCCTGTCACTACTGCTTTGTTGAGAAGCTATGTATTCGTTATTTGACAGTTATTCTGTGGTGCTGGGGAGCAAACCCAAGCCCACTGCATGCTTAGCATGCATTCTGCCATTGCGTTCCCCTTCAGGATTAGACTCACTTGGTAAGTTTGTTGTAAAACAGTTTCTGAGAAGTGAACTTGGGGGAATGAGTGGGATTGTGAGGAGTGACACTTGAGAGCAGGCAGATATCTGCTTATTACAGTTCAAGACAATCTGTTTTTCTTAAACCACAGCAGCTACAAAGCCAGAAGAGCATCTTTAAAGTATGAATTGCTCTTGCATATCCCAAGGCTGCCTAATGCGAAAACTGCATTCAGCAATTCATACAAAAAATTTAAAAGTAAATAGGGAAGTGGAGCCTTACATGCTAAAAGACTAAAAAGTTCAACTGATTCGAAAATAAAAGTGGCTTCACACCTGCTCGCAGGTCACGGCATCTCCACGGCTTGAATTCGGCTCAGAGATGCTATTGCCTCCAGGATCTCCTCAAACACAAAGTCCCCCTCTTGCCATCTTTGCCCTATTATGGTTTGTAGACTAAAATATTTATCATCGAGTGCAAACATCATAACATACTAATTATAACTTGAAGAAAAAGCACTAATGCATAATTGTAGCATCTAATGGGAAGGAACAACTTAAATTAGAAAATGTTTGTTTGAACCCAGCAATTTAGGAAATAGTGAGAAAAGCTGAGTAAAGGGCATGCATGCATCTGGGCCGGGGTGTGGCTCAGAGGTAGATCACTTACTAAGTGTCTTCAAGGCCATAGGTCTGATCCTTCCTGACCCTCCTCTCCAAAAGTACACGTTCAGCAAGATCCAAATATCCACAGTGACATAGGCACTGTATTCACCAATCTTTAAGTATGTGTTCTACAGGCCTCTGATATGTAGCCAATATCAAGGTAAATAAAAAGAGTTCACCCTTTGAAGCACTTATATTTAAATCCTTAAAGCTTTTCTTGAACCATAAAACTCTCATGGATTCCCCCCCCCTTCTTTGGTCTATATTCATAAAATCAAAGTCCTTGACTCTTAGCTCAGCTCAGCCATGAAACACTAAAATATGTCCCAGCCACCTGAGGTCAAGGCCAAGCCAGCTAAATGACACATAGTAATTGCCTCTCTGCTGAACAGGAGGTATCTGTAAAATATGATTCGATTCCAACAGATCGATAGAGACGGTTATTTAGAATAGTGAAAGATCTCCTGCCAGCTCTAGAGACCGGCGTTGTGTGAGTAAATGATAACTATTCTCTAGGTCTCCTCAGTCAGGTGCCCTGGAAGATCATGACATGTGGCAGTATCAGGGGCACTCAGATACATTTGTTTCCTTGTGACAATTCCCTTCTACAGCTGGGAACACTGTTCCCAGTAAGCCTGGGAGAGACTGGCAGAAGAGCTTTATTCTAGCCAGTTGTGATTTAATTACTGATATGCTCACACATCCCCTCCCTCCCACATCCATTGAGTTTGGATAGCACTGGTGAGGGAGCATAATTACTATCTCTGGAAAGTCCTTTCAGAGAATGATTCCATATCCTCATTCAGACAAAAGTACAGGGCATCTGACTGGTTAGCAAAGAAAGAACATTGTTCATGACCATGCTTTTATATCAGCTCCTGCATGCAGCTCTGGGACCTGTTCTCCCAAGCAAGGGTCAATGAGGATACAACAAAAACTTTGTGAATGTGTAGCTGTTCTTGGCACGTACCCCTCCAAGTCAGCCAAGAATGACTATGCAGGTTGTGTAAGCCACAGCACCTGGTGTAATATGTAATTGCTACAGCAAGATCTGCCTCGCTTTTTTGCTATGAACTTGAGTGTCTCACACATCTACTGTTTTGTTTTCATGGAAGTTACACGGGAGAAATTTCCAGTGGAGCCATCAGTCATCATACACTGGGGGTGGGGGGCAAGTTGTTAGAACTGCAATGAGCAGTTCCCATTTGTCATGAAGCAACAGCTATGGCATGAAGGACGGGGGATTTCTGACGCTGAAACCAATAACTGAGACCTCACACAAACCAAAGCGTTTCTCTGAGTTTCTGTCTTTCATCAGGAAAGCAGGGATAATGATGTCTTCCCTACAGAGTGGTTCTGAAGATTTAACAATGGCTTAGTTCTAAGTGCCTATGGTATACAAGACACCCATACCCTCAGGCTAGGTAGGCACACACAGCCTCCTGGCTCTTGTTTCTAACTCTTGTCATCTCTGGACAAAAGAACATCTCCCCACGGTCCCCTGAAGTATCTTACTTATGGCACCTGCCACATCTGCAGAGAGAGGAGGTCTAAGAGGATGGTGACAACTGCCAGTGTGGAAGTCATTAAAGTTCTTGGCCTGGAAGTCACCAGAACTCCAGGTTCTTCTGTGCCTTTCTGCTTCGTGTTATACCATAAAGCTCTCAGCTACAAAGTTACTTCTCATTGCATGCTGATTGCTGAAGTCCTAGACATTACTTTCTGTTTCAAAACCCAGGGAAGCAGGAGAGCATGATGGACTGAGGGGCTGAGAAAGAAAGGAAGGGAAGGAAGCAGGACTAGCAGACACAACAGAGGCAGGCAAAGCAGGGACATAGTGTTACATCTTAGAAAAATTCTCAGAAGCCACACAAAATACTTCCCATAGCTATTATTGGGCCATAGCTAGTCCCATGATTATGTGTAAAGATCTAGTAAAGACAGTCTCTGGTCTTGGTGAAGCACAACTCTAAACAGATTATAGTGAAGGAAAAGACAACTGGTGTGCTTAATGACTGACAACAGCATCTTGACAATCAGTTTACTTTAATTCTGAGTACATCACACCAGCAAGGAGAGGTGGACAGCCAAGTGGCCGACCTGCCTCCCTACTCAGAACCCTCCCTTAGCATCCTTGAATCTTGCTGGTTTAAACCCTTACTTCCAATCCACGTTCTTATGCTGTAGCTCCAGGCCTTTTGCGGAGCTACTATACTGATCTTGGATCCCAAACTATAACCATGTACTGTGACTTTAGCATCCCCCCCCCACTTCTTCTGGATCTGCACTGACCTTTGATCTCTTGACTTCATCTTTCATGTGGCATTTAGGGAAGGGACTTGTAATCTAGGGTACAAGTTGTAAGGGGAAGAATTTCTTACAATTGTATACAAAATAATGTGTATATCTACACCTTTTACCTGGAGAGCGGGACTATAGCTTTCCCTAGGATTCCTAAAGGGGTCTCTGATCCAATTAAGTCAAGATCTAGGGTAACCCTCAAAGCCTTTCATAAGAGTACAGATACAGGGAGACTCCTCTCACTCTAATTACAAATATGACCCAAAATGGAAAGCAAGCTCAGAAGTATCTGGAACAAACCATCTCATTTGTTCATTTCTCAGATTATGAATCAACATCCATGACCAGTAAACTTTGCAAATGTATAGTTTTCCTGGCATATACTACATTTGTCCTTCAAAAGGTTTCTCTCAACTTCTGAGAAAGAAAAGAAATAAGCAAAAATTTGATAGTCAGTATAATATTAGCTGTGAGATAACTGGTCCCCCAGGCCAAGGCAGAGACCCTCAAACAAGATGCATCTCAAAGCAAGGTCCGATTGCTGGATTCACCCTAGTAAGTGTCCATCTCAGGCTTGAGAATGGTGTTTCATATCATCTTTGTCTCCTCCAACCCTAGGGGACTGTGAAGCACAGAACTCTATAGCTGAACAAAAGCTTAGGAATCACATGCCCAACATAGATAAGGACTCCGAATTACATGAGACAAGTTGGTCTCCTGACGGAGCTCTAGACTCTTACCTGTCCTGAAAGCAATGGCCATGTTCTTGGTCCTTAGCAAGGAAGACTGATGATTCATACAAATGTGAGGGCTGAGTTGATTCTATCCTGGAACACACGTCACATCAACTCCTTGGTTTTAGGTCCCACACATTCTTCTTCCCCAATATGGTTCCTACTTGACCATCTAATGCTGACTTGTCTTTAACTCAACTTTCATCCAGTCCTTGAGATGATTTTGCTATTGTAGTGTGTGACTCCACTGTTCCTTTCCTTGACCTAGGGAGATTTCTTGATGGTATTTGATATTGTGAAATCTGAGCACACAAACTACCACCAGTACCTCTTCACCATGCAAACATTTTGACCATCCCAGCATTTTCAAAAGTCACTGGAACCATAGATAATACATTTGTTCAACAATGTGGAGGTGCAACCCATGAGTTTGCCTCTTACACTCAGCATCCCAGGCTAAACCAGGAACCCTTCTCTTCTTCTTCCTTTATCAGGCCATCAGACATGAGGGAGTGTTGGTTGCTACGGTGATGGGGCTCAGAGCAGAACCAAAGCATGAGTGTGACCTCCAGAGGTGATGGTAACTGAACACATGTTTTCCAAGGGTCTTCCTCCCGAGTTTTCAGGGGACTCCCCATCAAGAAAAATGGACGTACTCCTTTTGAAACAAAATCCTTCTCCTCCCACCAGACACATCCCCCGAGGATCCTGTTGGGTCTTTTTTGTCCTCTTGTACAGTCACGTGATTAAAGTGACTGCTTTTATTTCCTCCTGATTAAAGCTTAGTGGCTTCACCTGTGTTTTACGTATAGCAATGGTTATCTCATTCTTGCAAATAGCTTTTCTAAATCATGAAGCAAGATTCCCATTAATCTTTGGCATTGGTATTCAACCCCAAACCCCTAAATGGTGGCAATGCCTCCTGTATCACTTGGCTAGGTTAGCCTAGGCATCTCTTTTCAGCTAGGATGGTCTTGGCTCAGCCTGCAGACATCAAAGAAGTTCAAGCCAAAGCAAGAAAAAGAGCCTCAGAGTTTAGTAAACATATTCTGTCTTCAGGCTCAATTTTCTGTGAATGGTCTTCCTTGACTTGTCTTGGACCCTGTTTAGTACCCTGATCTTGCTGCCATGACTGTCTGACTGTCCTACCAGACAGAGCCACTGCTTTGAACTTTTTTTTTTTAAGAACAAGGATCACTTCATTTACATCTGTTTGTTGGAAGACAAATGCAACCTGCCAAAAGATCTGATACTCACAGTCAGATATGTATGCAAGTTGGCTGTCTTCTTATTATTTATAATTTGTCATTACAAAAATCACCACTACTAAGTATTTTTGACAGATATTGACTCCAGAGAGTTATAGATACATAGTTGTCCTTAGGGGTTATTAGAAGAAAGAACATGTAGATAATTACATTGAGATCTTTAAAACACGGGTCAATATTCCCAATTATCTTCACAGCCAGCTTTCAGATGTTTACATTGTTTCTGAAAGATAGACATTAGCCCTGCCTATGAGCATGAAGCTGGCAGTCCTTTAATAAAAATAAAAATGGTTCAACCAATTGTAAGTAGAAGCTAAAATGCAGTTTTTTTTTTTTTTTCAAATTAACATTTGCACCGCCCTACTAATAGTAATGGCAAAGCCTCTCCTCTGGGCGAACCATATCCGAGACAGGTGTGACTCTTTTGCTGGTAAAATAGCTCATGAAGACTTTCCACCACCTCTCTTGGTAACCCAAGCTGGTTTTTGACACTTTAGGACTGACAACATGTGATTTCAGGAAACAAATCATTTCAGTGGTTTTGAGCATCCATTGGTAGGACCCAACTACAACTGCTGAACCAGTGGTTTGTATTCATCAAATAAGTAAGTTTATTTCTTTGTTTTCCTTCTTCCTTTCATCACCACTCCAGGTTTACATATGAAATTGCACCTGTGTTTGTTCTCATGGAACAGATAACACTTAAGAAGATGAGAGAGATCATTGGATGGTCAAGTAAAGATGGTGATGGGATATTTTCTCCTGGTAGGTTTCTTTTCTGTAACTGATTGCCCTCAATACTGTCAATGTGGATCCTTTCTTCTTTATTAAAATTACTAACATAGGTCAACTATAGAAATTAATGGGTTTCATTATGACATTTGCATATATGCTTATATTACAATAGATTGTAACACTCTGCCTCTGCCTGTGAACCAGCTAACCAAGACTGTGTCTGAGTCATGCTAAAATGCTGCTGTTCTGACAATAGCAAAACTAGGGACCAGTGAGTCTGATTATCAATTAACTGACTTAAGCCCAAATATTGTATCTACTTTAGTCTCTAACTCCAGGTAGATATAATAAAAATCTTTAGGATAAAGACAGCTATTTTGGGAGGCAAGGAGCAGTTATAAATAGTGTTGAAGGCATATGGGGAGTAGGGCAGAAGAAAAAAGAATTCAGTTGTCCAGGCAATTCAAGCAGACCACTGATTTGCCTATTTCATTCTCAGGGAACTGAGGGAATGCCAAAGTGACTAGTCTGTGCTGTCTAGACTTGGGTAGTTATCTCATTTCTTCTTGTATCTTTATTCAGCAAGACATGAGTGAGTTTTTGTCCGTTTAAATAAGCTTAGACCTCTCCTAGACTCACTAACTCAGTCGGGCTTTTCTTTGAAGAGAATACCAAAGTCAGTAACCAAGAGATGCACTTCTTCTTTCTGCGAGCTCCATTACTCTCTTGCCCTGTCTGTCTGAACTCAGGGAGCAGATTCAGCTTTGTTCGGTAAACAGATTACACAGAAGATGGGAGCTGGGAGGCTGTGACTTACTGTGTCTTTGCAGCGCTATTACTGCCTCTGATATTCTATATAGGCTTTGGATAGGCACTGAAATACATGAATCATCTCCAGCAAAACTGCCTACATAGCTTTGGAAATAAGTGTAACCACTTCAAGTCTCATGGCAAAGGGCCAGAGGGAAGTCCTTAAGAGTGAGGAAGCCAGCAAGACTTTCAGGATACCGTCCTTTCCTTTCTTCATGTCCTGAAATACCAGCTCAACCTTTGTGTTAAAGACACAACAGAGCTTGGTGTTTAGTTGTTTTTTGAGACAGGGTTTTTCTGTAGCTTTGGAGGCTGTCCTGGAACTTGCTCTTGTAGACCAGGCTGGCCTCAAACTCACTGAGATCCACCTGCCTCTGCCTCCCGAGTGCTGGGACTAAAGGCATGGGCCACCACCGACAGCTTAAATAATTTAGTTTTATTTTATTTGCATTGGTGTTTTTTAGGCATGCGTATCGTGTGAGGGTATCAGATTTGTAGTTACAGACAGTTGTTAGCTGCCATGTGGGTGCTGGGAATTGAAATTGAACCCGGGTCTTCTGGAAAAGCAGTCAGTACTCTTAACCACTGAGCCATCTCTCCAGCTCTCGCCTTTAATCCCAACACTTGGGAGGCAGAGGCAGGCGGATCTCTGTGAGTTCGAGGCCAGCCTGGTCTAAAGAGTGAGTTCCAGGACTGGCTCCAAAGCACCAGAGAAACCCTGTCTCGAAAAACAAACAAAACCACAACAGAGCCCCAGCAACCTCACACTATGTCTACTTGTTGACAGGTGGAGCCATATCCAACATGTACAGCATCATGGCTGCTCGCTACAAGTACTTTCCAGAAGTTAAGACAAAGGGCATGGCAGCTGTGCCCAAACTCGTCCTCTTCACCTCAGAACACGTGAGTTGGAGACTCTGGCTCAGGGAATGTGGTGTTTCTTAAGGGACTATCTAACTTTTAACCTCAAGTCTCTATTTGTTGTAGAGTCACTATTCCATAAAGAAAGCGGGGGCTGCACTTGGCTTTGGCACCGACAATGTAATTTTGATAAAGTGCAATGAAAGGTAGGCAGCGGGAAGTGAGCGTTGGGTTTTTGATGTATTAAATGTGCTCATCTGTTAAATTTGTTTTATTGTGCTTAAGGACTGACTCAGTACAGTGTGCCAAGCTGCTAATGGCCTGTTGAAAATATCCAATTAAATTACTTTTTGCTGCTGATGATAATGGATTTTTTTTTCTTGTATAATCTTGTTGATTCTTTATTTTAATTTCTTTCCTTTTATAACAATTACAGGGGGAAGATAATTCCAGCTGATTTAGAGGCCAAAATCCTTGAAGCCAAGCAAAAGGTATGTGTGATTTGGTACATCTGAAACTTCAATAAATTTTTTTTTTTAGTGATTTGTTTCTGACCTACACAATGAAAAAAAATTGATAATAGGATAATTTTATTTCTAAGACTCCTATCTCAGATATTCCCTTATTTCCAACTTATTTCCAGCCTTTAGCCTCAAGGCCGAGTCTACAAGGAGTGAGTGTGTGTGTGTGTGTGTGTGTGTGTCTGTCTGTCTGTCTGTCTGTCTGTCTGTCTTTCTGTCTATGTAAAATGAAGAATTCAGTCATTAGATCACCATATATCAAGCAATTAGTTTGATGTTCTTCAATAAATCAGCTACCTGGGATTCAGAAAAATTCAGCCAAATTGAACTTTTTGTCTGTTTCTTGTTAGATATAATCTCATTTTAATAAGTACAAGTTTATCTTGGGACTCTGTTTAGGGAAGTGCTTCCATGCCCCACAGATGGCTCACAGTACTTGACAAATCCAGCTCAAAACAAACAAAACAAACAAACAAACAAACAAAAAACCCCAAAACTCTATTAAAGAAAGCAATTTCTTAGAATAGATGAATCCCCAGGGCCCTGCCATGCAGCTTCCAGGCCATGAACCACCACACAGAAGTCTGGTTACCTTCTTGTCTGATTGAAGCTGCTTCCTGAGGCCTCAAAAGAACCAGACAGATGGAGTCTTACTGACCACGAGCTGAGCTCTCAGACTCTCTGACACTGATAGATCTCCTCGCCCTGTCCCAGCTCTTTCCTTCAGTTCTCTGCTCTCCTGTTTTTCATGTCAACATCTCGGCACAAGTCAGTATGTCAGCATTCACAGCTGTAGACTACTACTATAATTATGTGGATGTATGTGCATCTTCATGTATGAGCAGGTTTGAATGCATGTATGTCTGGAAGCCAGAGGACATGCATCTTCAAGTGTCCTTCCTAGACACACGTTTATCTGAGACAAGGTCTCTCCCTGGCCTGAAATCTACAAGGCTAGGTTGACGGACCAGCAAGCCTCCAGATCCAGCTGTCTCCACTTAACCAGTTCTGAGATTACAAACATGCACCAACATGCTTGGCTCTTTCAGTGGGAATTCTGAGGCTTGAACTCAGGTCCTCATGCTTTCAAGGCAAGCACTTTACCAACTGAGCTAATTCCCCAGTCCTTATATCCACCTCTAAAAAAAAAAAAACCCAATGTTCGAGTTTAATTGCAATATCAAAACACTTAGACCAACACATGGCCCCCATAGAGAACAGCATCCAGATGACATTCAGTAGTGAAGTAGATGGGTAAATCCAAATACTAATTTTTCCTTTGGTTTTTGTCACATGATGTATTTTATATATTTTGCTTAATTTTAAGTTTGTTGTGTTAGAATTCTTTTTCTACTTGCTCCATATTTTGTTCCCAGCACCCCCCCCAAAAAAAATGGCCCAAAGTAACCCTGTTGAATGAATGAATAAATTTTCTATCTGTGGTCTCTGATCCACAGCAGCTTGGCTCACTGTTAGAAATGAATATTGTTGCCTTCCACTTCCCATAGAAATGAGCAGATGAGGAAGGTTAAAAAGCACATAAAAGGGGCCTGGAGAGACGGCTCATTGGTTAAGAAGGCATACCATACCACTCCTCCACTGAACAAGGGTTTGCTCCCAGCATCCACACCAGGCTTATAGCCACCTATAACTCCAGTTCGAGAGTGTCTGAAATCGTTTTCTATGCTCTAAGGGCACTGCCGCACGCATGCGCGCACGCGCGCACACGCACACACACACCAATAAATAAATAAATAAACTTTTCTTAAGAAATAAATCATCTATTTCTTTCCCCTATAGGGATATGTTCCCCTCTATGTCAATGCAACTGCAGGCACAACCGTTTATGGCGCTTTTGATCCAATACAGGAGATTGCAGACATTTGTGAGAAATACAACCTTTGGCTCCATGTAGACGTAAGTGTCCTCGTTCATACACAGCCCTGTCATGTCAAGGGGCAGAAACTGCACCACTTTCCACTTTACCTCCAGCTGCTCTGAACACCCTCCCTGGCTCTTTCTGCACACGTTTGCCCCTGCTTGCCCCCACTCCTCAGCCAGCCATTCATGAGCAGTACCCGCCACAGAACCTGGTCACCCTCTGGGATTCATCCCGGGTCCTTACTGGCCGATAGCTGTCTGGTGTGACGAGCAGTGCCTCCCCTGGTTTTCTTTTTTATTTGGATGAATGGATGAAAAGTAAAATATAGCTGATTTTCAGAGAGAGAGAAAACAGTGAGACATAACATACAGAAAGCGGCCATGAGTCTGAACACTCAGTCACCTGCCCACATCCCCATCTGTAACGCTTCTAAGGAGGTTGCCTATCTGCATGTGGGAAAATAAGGACGTACACAGAAGACATGAGCAATCATGAGGGTTAGCTCCAGAGTTTCCAAGCAACAGCCAAGCGTGCACTCCTACACATGTGATGGGAACCTTTTGTTTTCTTCTTGCTTTCTCCCCGTCCTTTCTCTTACTGGATGTAATTTCTTGGAAATAGATGATAGGCGAATCTGTCCCACTGTTCAACAAATGGCTGGCAAAGGCTGTGTTGTGCCCCATGCTATGCCAGGCTATACAGTAAAACAGATACTGTGGTACCCATAATAGTGTCTAGCTATGACGGGAGCTTTGTGGACCCTCTAAACTCAGCAGGTGTTGGTGCTTTCTGAGTTTTTCAGAGTTGTTTTGGAAGAAGCAGGTAGCCTTTTAAACAGCCTTCAGTACCTCCATGGCAGTGGAGAGATGTGTATTGGGCTCAGAGAATCCCTGGCTGCCCACAGTACTTTAAGCCATTTGGGACTTGATCTGCAGCCACCACAAGCTCCACCCACATTTTCTAGATCACTAAGACATTCTCTGGAGGAAGTTTATATGAAGAAATGGCAAGTGATGGAGAGCCTGTCATCTGTGCAACTAGAACTGTCAGTGTGGACTTATTCCATAGGTTATCCTTTGTGTAACCTTGGCTGGCCTGGGATTTGCCATGTAGGCATCAATGGCCTCAAATGCAGAGAGCTGCCTGCTCTGCTTCCTTAGTGCTGGAATTAAAGCCATGCCCAGCTTGATTTTAGATTCTTCAGCATCACAGCTCCTCTTGACTCTTTTCTGTCATTACAGGCTGCCTGGGGTGGTGGACTGCTCATGTCCCGGAAGCACCGCCACAAACTCAGTGGCATAGACAGGTACAGTGGACTTGGTAGCCTTCCCTCATCTGCGTCTGATACACTATCCACCTCGGTCCAGCCCCTCCACTTCCAACCTTGACATCAGCCTTAATTCCCCCAGCCCTGATGTTTTTCAGTGGTAGAACTCAATCCGACTAGGCAAACTTTAGCCTGCCTGGACCTTTTGAGTGTTTCCTGCCTGGTTTATTTCCTAGTCAAATGAGTCCTCAGTTCACAATTGCAGGTGCCTAGGGAGGGGACAGGCAGCCTCTGATTCCTTCAGCTCCTCCTCAGTAAGGTAACTGATGACTGACATACCCAGCTCCTCTGACTGATCTCAGTAGCTATGGCAAAAGACAGGAAGCAAGAGTGTAGAAAAGAATGTCTCAGGCAGTGGGCATGGTCAATTCAGAGACCCAGAGACATGACTCCTGACAATCTGGAGGACAATGGGCATGGAGCAAAGCAAGAGAGTTGGAGAGCAGGCCAGTAAGAAAACTGGGCCAGGCAAGCTCATCAGAACACTCTCCTAGCAACAGCTCCAGAGTCGTAGCTGCTGTTGAGCCTGTCCCTTCTGTCTCTTTTGGAACGCCATTGTCAACATGAGACTGGCTTGGGAAAGATGAAAGGTAGGGCCCTATAATTCAGAGGAAAATATACTAAATGTAGATGAGCCAGCCCAACTGTACTTCAGACTCCTCAGAGCGTCCTTATAGTCTATCCTTGGATCCAGGAACAGATGACTGACAGGAGACTTGTTCTCTTTTTACATTAAAGCACAGATGTCTTCCAAGGGGACCCAAAGCTACATCATGTCCTGTTTCCTTCCACTTGCAGCAGCAGAGAACCATTTGCTTCCCAGCTTCAGGACATTCAGAAAATCATTTTTAAAGACATTTTATGAGATCTAAGTATAATTCTTAATGGCTTGATATGCAGTAGCAATGATGAAATTGGCTAAGTTCATTCATGCCTTTTAAATGTGGCTTGACAGGGACTCTTTTCTATGATATCAGCACTTGGCCAACCTTACCAGGGATTCCTCCCAGGTCTCTTTCTCTATTTCATGAGGCTTCCTTTTTGTGCATGTAAGGGAAATGTTCTTTAACCTCTGCACCCTTCTTGAAACTCAGTACACACACACACACACACACACACACACACACGCACGCACGCACGCACGCACGCACGCACACCACAAAGGACCAAAGGAAGAGGTTAAAAACCCACAGCAAGGGCTTAGCACCGGGAGAGCACAGACAGTATAATTCCAAGGCAGTTGTGTCATCAGAGGCAACACTCTTCTCAGGTATTAAAATGCACAGTCCAGCTGTGGCCAAAGCCATCAAGAAAAGGCTCTGCAACTCACTGGAGCAAATTTCCCGAGTCTGAATCATTATACATCACACTCAGCTGTTTCTGTAATGTCCTAGCTAGTGTGCTTCTTAGTCATCTAATTGTGTCTGACAGAGTGATGCAGTTGCTAGGAGACCACACTTGTTAAGTGAGCATTGCAGCCGAGACTGGCAAAAAACCATGCTCGTTTCTCACTTAATCGCCACTGCTAGCTAGTCCGAGTCTCTGGCAGTGTGGCTGATCACGGCACTCAGTAGCGCCATCAGCAGGTAGTTCCTCATCACCAGCCCTTCTTTAAATCAGGACATTAGGAAGAAGTCCGTGGCTATTGGCTAGAAGGAGGGGCAATCCGGTGTGTGGGTTGTGAGTGTTGGCTCTGCAGAGAACCCTGGGCTTGGACCCTGGGTCCAGCCCCAACCAGCCATGTGACTTTGGCAATGTGATTAACCTATCAGTGCATCAGTTTCTCTGTGTAAACTGGAAGCAATAGCATCACAGTGTTACTGTGTGAGTTACATCTACCAGACCCTGGATAAGCATCACGTGCTTTTTGTTTGTTTGTTTTTGTTTTAATTTTTAGATTTTTATTTTTTATTTTTGCTCTCATTCCAGTTCCCTATCCCTCTCTCCCTTTCTCCCTCCTTCCCATGCCCCATGACCACCCTCCCATCCCACCAATACCCCCCCCCACTCCATAGGGAGAGTGATGCCTTCCAGAAGGAGTCAACAAAATCTGTCAAGTCATTTGGAGTAGGGTCTAGGCCCTCCCTCCTGCCTCTAGGCTAAGGGAGTATCCCTCCATGAGGAATGTGCTCCCAAAGTCCTTTTGTGTACCAGGGATACATCCTGGTTCTCCCAGGCCTTCTAACTAAGACCCATGTTCAGGGTCTGAGTCGGTCCAATGCTGGTTTCCCACCTATCAGTCTGGGGGCCCATTGGCTCCTCCTTGTTCAGGTCAGCTGTCTCTGTGGGTTTCTGTAGCCTGGTCTTGTCCTCCCTCTCTGCATCTGGATTCCAGTTTGCCTCAGTGTTTAGCTGTGGGTGTCTATCAGCTGCTAGATGAGGGCTCTATGATGGCATCACGTGTCTTATGAACGTGTTTTATCCTTTACTCCGTTCTGATGAGGCAGATGTGAATTCTGCAGCACAAATGAGTTATGTAACATACACAAGCTAGGAAATGTCAGGACTAGGATTCAGAATTGCACAGTACACTTGCAAAGCCCGAGTCCTTAGCCACATTTCCAGTCATATGCAGCTAGAGCTCTGAGGACAGTAGGACACATAAAAAGTAAGCAAGTGCAGCTGTTGTTAATAGCCAGTATATAGAACTCAGCAGTGCAGTGCCTTGAGAGACAGCCCAGCATGCATTGCTTGTTGAGGGTCAATTTAGAAGACTGGGCAAGGAAAGCATCTGTGGCCTCAGTGGAGATGGGTAGGGTTTACCTCAAGATAATAGGCTTTTCTCTCCCTTGCTCCAGTCTTCTCAGAGGTTCCTATGTGTCTTCCAGGGCCAGCTCAGTCACCTGGAACCCTCACAAGATGATGGGCGTGTTGCTACAGTGCTCGGCCATTCTGGTCAAGGAAAAGGTTTGTACTCCCTCCAGAGCTGTGCTGGCTGCAAACGCATCTCAAAACTTGAGAAAGGAATGGTTGGTAGCCCCATTATGAGCCTGCAGACTGTCCTTGCCTGCCCTTCCAGCAACCTAACCTATATTTTCCTCTTCAGCTCTTGTTGTCGGCTGCCCTTTGTCTTTGTTCAGTGCTTGGGTCCCTGTTGGTGACAGGCTCTTTAGTGAAATTCTTTGAGTATTCATGTCTGCACAGACCTGAGCATGATTGCATGAGCCACCGAATCAATGAAAACAGACCATGCTCACTGGAACCTACTTTGAATTCTTAGTGGATGTTTGTAGTCTCAAGAGCTGAAAAAAAATTAGATGGAGCAATAAACACAAATCCTGGCTTAGGGCATCAGGGACTCTTAGTCAGGATGCTTCTGTAAGGCCAGCAAAACAACTCGGTGAGTAAAGGTGCTTGCTGACAAGCATGAAGCTCTGAGTTCTATCCCTGGGGCCCACGTGATGGAAGGAGAAACCAATTCCCTCAAATGTCTTCTGATCTCCACCATATGTGCTGTTGTACACATGTGTGCACACATGCAAAATGAATAAGTGTAATTTTTAAGAAAGCTTCTGTAAATGCTTTGGAGACAGATTTTCTTCCTCCCCCACACCCAGTGCACTGATGCTTCATAAACCTGCTGCAGTAGAGGCACTCACTCCAGCCTGTCTCTGTGGGAGTCAGAACCCACACAGGCTCTCCTCTACTTACCGTAACTTCATAGGATGTCTTGCATAAATTGGAAGAGTTGTGGGGTAGTGTTTGGGAGTGGAGGAAGTTCTTCACAGCACTAGCCTTCCCGCCTGCTGAAGTTTGTACTCCAAGCCCTCCCTGCCCAAAATACAACATAATTCCTCCTGGAATCTGACAAACCTCAGAGCACCCACTCCCATCTCCAGATGTCCCTTAGAAACAGTGGAGCCCTTGTGGGCATCCAACACAAAAGGACATTTTCTAACCAGGCAGGGTGGGGAGCAGACATGCAGGTTTTTTTTTTCCCAGAGTGGCTTTAAAGGACATCTGAACTCATGAAAGGCCTCCGAAGAAAGCAGGCATTGTCCCCAAGCCCATCTTTGCACCCACACCTCTGACTGGTGAATGCAGTTGCTTGTGTCTTGATTTCCATGACAGGGTATACTCCAAGGATGCAACCAGATGTGTGCAGGATACCTCTTCCAGCCAGACAAGCAATATGATGTCTCCTATGATACCGGGGACAAGGCAATTCAGTGTGGCCGCCATGTAGACATCTTCAAGTTCTGGCTGATGTGGAAAGCAAAGGTATGAGGGGGAAACCCAGGGGCCGGAACCATGGCTAGCACAGGCTAGCACAGACTGGCTGGTGAAGGGCAGACAGTGATATATTCGCAGGTAATCCACTGCACGTGTAACTGGATCTAGAAAATGGAGTTAACTATATTTTCTTTGTGAACGGAGTAGCTTCTTCCCTGTGTCAACCCTCTCTTCTCTTAGGTTGAATTAACATGGACATTTCTTATTCTTACAATTCTCTTATTACTAAAATTTTGCCAAGATAATGTCTTCCACAACATCTCTTTGTAAATTAAAAAAGTATTTTTTTCTATTTTGTGTATGCGTGTGAGTGTGTGTGTGCCATGGTGTGCAGGTGGCTGCTAGAAGGAAACAAGCAGAAGCTGGTTCCCTCCTTTCACTGTCTGGGCTCCCAGATCAAACTCAGACTGTCAGGCTTGGCAGCAAACACCTTTACCCACTGAGCTACCTTGCCTGTCCTCCACAATTTATTCTTAAGAATTCTAAAATTATTTAGTACAGATATAGAAAAAAAGATATAAACTACCATGTTAGTCTGGAAAGAATTCAGAATTCCTTCATGAGGCACCACATCAAGGAATATATCGGCATATGTGTGCATACATAATTCATATACTCATATGTTTGCATACATACATACACTGCAGTTTAAAGTTCTTCTTAAATAATGGCTATTCCTTGCTAGCACTCCGTGCACTACTCTGGGAGCTGTGTAGTGTGTGCACTGTGTGTGGTGCATGTGTAGATGGGTATATGTGGTGCTTTGTATGTGGCAGTATATATGTACATATGTGTATGATGCTGTACGTGTGTGGTGCTGTCTGTTCATGTGTTTGCGGAACTGTGTGTGTGTGGTGCTGCTGGGATTAGAACTTGATACTTGATTCAGGGGACTCATGTCACTGGACTGAAGTACACTGAGATTACATAATTGCCCTCTTGGGTTACATTTCTGTGTCTAGGATAAAGCTAAAAAAAATATGAGAAAGGAAGTAATGCCTGCCTCTAAAGTATTTTTATGCAGCCCCGTTAAAGGTGGTTTGGATTTCACAGCCTGCATCACACCTGTTGTTTCTATTTACCTTATATTTGTCAATTTTAATAATTTACATAGTACAGGTTCGCACTAACTTTCCCTCCAAACAATCATGCTTTCCAGTAATATCTAGTCAGATATTTATTTCATCTATAGGAAAAACTGGCAGGTGACTAGTTTTCTTCCTCACTGAGTCATCTTGCCTTAAGTCTGGATTTGATTTCTCCCATGAAGTAATTGTAGGCATTTTGAGCATATAAATGCCTTCACCAGCGTAAGAGAAAGAGCCCTGTCATTTTGCACTGCTATAATGACCACATGGCCTGTCTCCATAATTACAGTGTCATTTTGTTTAACAGTGGCCTCTTGAACTGTCCCCTGGAGGCTCAGCCCCTGGGTTGTGGAGGTCAGATCCTGGGGTGGGATGCCTTCACAAGGGAGAGTCCCCAGTGCCACCACCTACAGGGCCTCCTGCTTCACCAGCTCTGGACTCCGCCAGGCTCATCAGCCATCTACAGGCGGCCTCATGCATGTGTTCTCACTAACACCAACCCACTCAGCAGCCTGCACGCCGCTCTGCCAATCAGCCATGCTGGCTTTTGAAATTCATGCTCAGCCAGTTTGTCAGTAGTTAGAGCTAATGCAGTCTTGGGGCATAGGCTGAGACCCATGGCTTCCACACCTGCCTGCTGACCTGTCGCTGGAAGGGAACAACACTGTTCTGTGAAAGGTGGATTGCCTGTGAGGACTGGGGACAGGTTTAGCCAGGTTATATGGCTGGGGAAGATGCCTTCTGTGGCAGTGTCTTTCAAAATACCTGTGATGAAGAATCAGTCGGTAAATCCTTTGACCTACCATGGACCAACATAAAAGTGTTAGAAAAATGAAATGTAAAATACAAAACCCAAGTCATTATTTTCGATTACCATCAATGGGTATGTGTAATTGTTTCTAAAGTTTGTTAATGGAACCAGGAGACGACTCAGCAGGTAGGGGTGTGTTGCCACCAAGTGCTTGAACTCTGGGAGTAACATGGTGAAAATAAAACCTGACTCCCAATAGCTGTCCTCTGACCTTCACACACAGGCACACACAAAAGACACTCACCGGGATGCGAGCATACTCAAACACACACACACAGAGTGAGAGAGAGAGAGAGAGAGAGAGAGAGAGGGCGGGGTAGGGAGAGACAGACAGACAGAATGAAGAAGTTTTTAAGTCCTTAATTTCAACTTCTGTACTCACTCCACCCTGGACCTGCTACAGTTTGTAGACTGGCCTCAGTCCAGGTATGGCACTTCGAGTGCCATGGTCCACAAGCAAACTAGCTAGTGGCTAACTTGTAGGAAGCTAAAACCCTGCTGAGAACATCTTCCAGCAGACCAAGCACAGGTTTCAAAGAGAAAGCGTTTTCTTGCATGCAAGGCTTGAAGAAGCTGTGCACATTTGATTAGATGGTCCTGCCTAACCGTCTCCAAGACAACACTTCTTTATATAACCCATAATCAAGGACTGCATAGCCTTCCCAAATAAACTTCATGGGGAAGTGCAACTTGATATCAACACAATTTTGTTCTTTGAAACAGGGTACTGTGGGATTTGAAAACCAGATCAACAAATGCCTGGAGTTGGCCGAATACCTCTATGCCAAGATTAAAACCAGAGAAGAATTTGAGATGGTTTTTGATGGTGAGGTAGGTGCTCCTAGAGAAACCAGGAGGGGAGTTCCAGAGCTTTAGGGATTGGGGGTCTCATCATCTCACCCAAAACAGCACTTAAACTTCCCCCACTCATGGCCCCTTTCACTCAACATATCTTTACACAACCGCAGACATACAGACATAGACTTTTTTGTAGACATAATGAGGATAAATAGTAAAGGTAACTATTTTAAAGCAACTCTCTGGTAGAAAATTTTGTTATTTATTAAAGACTAACGTAAAATTTCATACTAATGAGATGGGTGCTTTTGTGTATTTTTACACAAAGAATTAAATTTTGGCTGAATATGTGATATTGCAAGATGCAGAGGATCCTTAACATTTTTTTTTTCAGAGTTGAATAAGCTTTTGATTTTGTAATCTTCAACGCAGAGAACCCCGCTTTGCATTAACATATGGTATATGTAGTACAAAATGGCAGAACATCAATAGGAAAATACTAAAAGCCTTTGTTTTCTGTAATTGAACCATATTCTAAAGGCACAGAACACTTTATGTGTCCAGCGAAAACACTGCTGTTCACAGTCTGGACTCTGGGTGGCGCTGTTTCAGGCAGCCTCCCTTGACATTGTGGCACCATACAGCATGAGCACCACAGTTATGAATGATGCATGCTTAAAACCAAGTCTGCAGCGGGGTGACATGATGTAACACAGCATCACCAGCAAGCCCCAGATCTGTTACATATTTAATTTAGAGTTAAGTTTTGATCGTTCTATCATCAGAAGTCTCTTGAAATTCCCGTACTCTCAGTCATACAACCCTGTGACAACGCACAGTTAAAGATGCCGAGCTCTGAAGTACACAGCTCTCAGCCAGCCCTTCATACCTGGAATGTGTCCTGTAGCAGATCCTAACCCTTCAAAGTTCTCCACTCGATCTGGAGTTGGACTCTACCCATGCTAAGTATCTCCCTGGTCTAAGATGCTTGGAGGTCAGGTGCATCCTCACCATTCAAGCCTGGCTCTAAATGAGGCTTTGCTGTTCATGGACTCATTATGAAGAGAGCCAGATAAACTGCCTCTGCCTAGTTTCACACACTCCCCTCTTTATACACAGTAGAGTACCTGTCAGCCCAATGCTTCCTGAGTGCCAGACACTGACTTACATCACTAGCCAGAACAAATACTGTGTCTGCCCTGGTCGAGTTCATAGTTGAATAAAGAAATACGGAATCAGTGCCAGTCCTGATTTAAAAAAAAAAAAAAAAAAGGCCTGTTCATAACCCGCTGTAACCCAGCACCACCCACAGCTGGCATGTGTCTCTTTACACTTGGCGAGATTAACAATGAGAGTCACCAAAGATCACCAGAGTCCCAGGCAGGCACGGTCAACCTGGACGGCTCCTGCACCTCCTCTGCCCGGCTTCCCTTTAGCCCTTTATGTGTGGGTTTACACTTTCTAGTGGAAGACTGAAATGAGGACTGTGATGTCACCAGCTACCTAGAAGCAAACACAGTGCTGCTGACACTGAAGCAGAAAACTGCAAACCTCTTTCACACACACACACACCCCAAAACTCGGAATCAATAGAGTAAGCAAGCAGCTTCCCCCTGCACCAACATCAAAGCACCACGCGTCTCTGAATGACTCAAATGCCCTTGTTTTTAGCGTTTCAAGGCACAAAGGCAGTAGGTTTGGGGATCTAGAGGGTTGGTTGGGGGCTGGGGAGTGAGTAGTCTTGACAGGTGAGTCTGGTGAGCTCTGCTTCCTGCCTGGTGGGTTTGTGCACCCAGCTGCTTTGAAGACATCATTCTAGACCTCTTTCTTTTGGACTGAGGAAAAAGTCAACTTTCTCCAAAAATGCTTCTGGCTTTTGCTCAAGTTCTAATCTTCTTACTTTTGTTTGCTTGATTGTCTCTTGAAATTTCTACAGCCTGAGCACACAAATGTCTGTTTCTGGTACATTCCACAAAGCCTCCGAGGGGTTCCAGACAGCCCTGAGCGACGAGAAAAACTGCACAGGGTAAGGACAAGCTTAGGGTCTCAACTGCCCCATGCTGCTTGCCTTGCTGGGCAGACTGTCCTCCTGCCCCTGTGCTGTTCTCAAAGGGGAAGGATCAAAAAAAAAAAAAAAAAAAAAAGAAAGCCTCAGGATGGGCTTCTGTGTAATGGGGTGGTGCACCTTGATTTATACTTCTGGGGTCTGCAGTGCCCCCTTGCTGCGATTCATACACGATAGGGACCTCTCAAACATGGATTCCCGCCTAGAAGGGTGTTCCTCCTCATCGAGGCTGGATGTGCAGTAGAGGAACGATGAACATCCTTCTTGGAATGTTCTACACTCTACTGTGTCTGTTATTTTTACTAAGTCAAGGTCTACTCGAATGCTGACTCATCTCTGTTGAGTCCTACATCAAGTTTTGTCTATTCAGAGTTGCTGGCATATTTATGTAACACGTTAGGCATGCAACCATCGAACAGATATTTGATAAACCCAATCTGTGGGCCAGACAGTATTTTGGACTCTAGGTCATGCACAACCATAACTTGTAGTGTTGTCTGTCTTTGATCTTTTTTTTTTTTTTTCACTATCACTAAGACTGACATTCAAGATTCAGTTGTCCAGGGCTTTCCAAATGAACTCATAGTTGTGTGGGTTTAGCTGTGAAAAATACTTGGTTCTAGAGGTGCTTTTGCTGTTTTAGCCAAATAGCACAAAGTAAACTGTCACCATTGGTGTGGTGCTGAGTTTGGCTTTATGTTCTCCTTCACAAGGTGGCTCCCAAGATCAAAGCCTTGATGATGGAGTCGGGGACAACCATGGTTGGCTACCAGCCTCAGGGGGACAAAGCTAACTTCTTCCGGATGGTCATCTCCAACCCAGCCGCCACCCAGTCTGACATTGACTTCCTCATTGAGGAGATAGAGAGGCTGGGCCAGGACCTGTAATCCCCTTTGCCAAACCAGGGTCCTCAGCCATGCCCTTTCCCGTCTGGCACCCTTCAGTAGCTGACACACCCCAGCCATTTCGCTGAAGGAAATGGTAATCTCTTGAAGAATATTTGTCACAAACTCACACAAGCTTGTTTGTTAGCATTAGCAGGAAATAATGTCCTTTTAAAAAACTGCACATTAGGAACACAGTATATATGTACAGTTATATATATATACCTCTCTCCATGTATATGTATGTATAGTGAGCGTGGCTTAGTCCTAGACCACAGCATGTTTCCCGTCCCCCAGAGAATTAGCCTCACCTCCTGAAATTATTAAGAGGCTAACTGCAGGACAGATGGCACCCGCACGGCTGTGTCCTAGGGACCCAGGGGTATGCTGCTGGTGGGAGCCTACCTCCCTGTTAGAGCTGTTCCCACCTGAAGGGATGGATGATGAATGACAGAAAGTACCAGTAGATGACAAGTGTCACACCCTCCCTGTTAGTACCCTGCTAGGGGAAATAGTAGCAGAGTCTGTCACAATCGTGCTGTTGCTGTTTTTAGAGATTAATTTGTGTAGACTGTGTATCCCTACCACTGTCTGTCTTAGGTGGTGGTGGTGGGGGGAAGCACTTATAATGGTTTAATTGTATGTCAGTGAAATATTTGCTTATTTATATTCAAATATATACCATGTTGAAGAGGCATCTTGTATTTTCTTCCCATTTGTAATGTATCTTATTTATATATTAAGGAAGTAAGTTCTGAATACTGTTTATGGTATTTTCGTGCATTTGTGAGCCAAAGACAAAAAAGATGAAAATTAGTGAGACTTGCATTTATATTAGAGTGCCCTTAACATAATGATTTAAACTTGTGTGTACTGTCTGGGGAAGAACTCTGATACTGTACATAGAGTCATGTATATGAAATCATGCTTCAGTCACCTCCGCTCTTCTCTTCCCCTGTCTGGCTGTATGTCAGGTGTTCTCAATGCTTTTCTAGTAACTGTTGAATAATAATAACTAGATCTCCTGTGATTTTGTAGTAGGACATGACCAATCTCTGTGACTCGCTTAGCTGAAACCTAAGGCAATGTTTCCGAAGATCTCCGATACACTGGCCAGTCCCACAAGTGTTTTTGAAGAAATGAAACCCACACTGTGCGTTTTAGAGTATGCAAGAAAATATAAATAAATAAACAAACAAACAAACAAATAAATAAATATTCTCCATGGAAAACTTAAACCGTTTCTTTTTTCTTCCAGTCTGTGTTTTAAATATTAAAAAAGGGAGTTCCAGGAACCGCTGCTTGGGATCATCCATGGCCCATTCATTTCCCACTAGCTACTTTGACAGGATGCTCCGTCTCCTGGTTAAGCTGAACCTTTAACCTTCTGTTTTGGCTTCCTATGCCCTTCATCAAGAAAGTCACCGGGTCTATAGATGGATTAGATTTGTTCTTTGTGTCCAGAGAAGGAAAGGCAAACCCTGTCTTTCACCCTCCTGGCTGCTTCTTGGAATTGCATGCCTCATCAGTAAATTAATATTTCCATCCTCTACCTCAGGGATAGTTATGGGCCCCAAGGTTGCCGTGGTGAGTGTGGCAGACAAATATCCCTTTTAGTTTGGACCTTAGATCATCTGTCATCTTTGCCTGTCAGTCAAACAATCACAGCTTCTTGTTATCTGTGCTTGTACAGTGGTTCCAACTTACTTCCTAAAAATGTATTTTTAGTTGCTGGATTATAAGGAAAAAGGGTTCAATTACTGCACTATTCTGTTAAGCTACAAACAGTACCTTACTCGTTAGAACACAGGCTTTGTCTACGGCACATGTGGGAGATAGAGAAGTGACCCTTGTACATAGTACAGAGGTTGATTTAACAAACTGGACCACGGGGAGTGATCAGAAAAACACTTTATTCTTTTTTCAAATCCTGCCTGTGGGTTTCCTCCCTCTGCATTCTGACTTAAATTCAAGCCATTCCCATAGGTTTTCTGGCCTTTCTACAAGAAGGGCCTTATTTTAAAAGAACAGTCCAGTTTCATGAAGAGTGCCTTCAAAAGGCTAGAGGGTTGGCTCAGTGGTTAAGAGCACTAACTGCTCTTCCAGAGGACTGAGGTTCAATTCCCAGCACCCACGTGGCAACTCACAACTGTCTGTAACTCCTAGTTCTGACACACCCACACGAACATATATGCAGGCAAGACATCAAAACACATAAATTAAAATAGGAAAGAGTGTGTGCTATCACACCCAGAAATGTAATAAAAAGAAAGTGTCTTTAGAGTGGTGTGCAGGATAGAGCTACTCTCTGCTCCCCCATTCTGCCGTTGTTTCAGGCTGCAAGCTCCTAGCAGAAAGGTGATAGGGGATGCTGGTGTATTTTCTCTTATAGGTCAGGCCTGTAGGAAGAGAGGGCTAATGTGACAAAGGAATACTTTTTTAAAGATGTTTTTAAATCATTTTGAATTATGAGTAGGTGTGGGGGCAGGGAGGAGTTTGTGCACATGAGTGTGCATGCACCAGGGAGTCAAAGGCACAGAATCCTCTGAACCGGAGTTGCAGATAACTGTGAGCCCCGCCCCCCAGCCCCAGTATGTGAATGCTGGGCACCCAACTAGTAAGAAAAGCAGCATTCACTCTTAACCAATGAGCCATCTTCGAGCCAACAAAGCCATAATTTTAGCAAGCTGTTAAAATGACATCTGGCATTAAGTCTCCTGGACCACAAAGGATGTTTTTGTTTGGTTTTTAGTGGGACAATTTAGGAGTGGAATTAAGGAGACATTTTAAAATTAAGGCAAACTCATTCTTTACACTGTTCTGTGTGCTGTTGACAAACCCATTTTGTCTGTCACTGATGGCATGACCAAAGCCCACCCCTTGTGTCTTCCTCTTCTCAAAGCCTCTGGAGTCCTGCATGAGGGCCCCTTGAGTTCTGCCCCCCCCCCAAATGCATATTCATGCTATTCTCTGTAGCTTTCAAGTGTGCTTCTATTGCTTTACCTAAAGCATTTGGTAAGTGTCCATATCACCTCCCTATGCTTTTCCACTTATTTGGATAACCACAAATTATTTGAAATGTAAGGAGTTTCCAGTTTTGGTCAATTAAATAAAATTATAAAAATTATTATAAACATTAGCGCGTAGATGTTTGTATAAACACAGATTTCATTTAATTTGGGTAAATAGCTATGTGGGTGTAGGATTCCCAGATCATACACTGTGAACATACTATAAAAGGAACTGTTGAACTAATTAAACAAAATCTGTAAGAAATAGCTCTGGGCTCCTCCTTAGCCCATGGATGTCAAACACAACTTTCAGTGGAAGCCTCTTAAAGTTTCCTTTGATAATTCTTTCAAGATTTATTTTACTGTTTTTATTTATGTGTATGTGTGCCTGTGTGTGGTGCAGATGCCAGAAGAGACCAAAGGTACCAGCCAATCAGTTCCCCTGAGCTGGAGTCACAGGTGATTGTGAGCCATGCAACATGGTGCTAGGAACTGAACTCAGGTCCACTCCAGGGTCCTACATACTCTTAAGCACTGAGCCATCTCTCCAACTTCCAGTAACTAGTTTTTTTTAAAGCCGTATTTATCTTTAATTTTACGTGTATGGGTGTTTTGCCTGCATGCATGCCTGTGAACCATGTGCAGCACACCAGGTGACCCCAGGAACCAGATTCCCTGGAACTGGAGTTACAGATGGTTATGAGTGTCTGTACGGACGCTGTGGATCGGACCTGGGTCCTCTGGAAGAGCAGCAAGGACTCTTAACTACTGAGCCATCTCTCTGGCCCTGATAACTCATTTCCATGATTCTGCTACTGTTTGCATTATAACATATGCTTCAGTTGGCTTGAGAATGCTTTCAGGAGTAAATACCAAGAGTTTCCCCAGGTTTCGATTGTTTATTTGTTCCTCTTGTAGCCTTTATGCAGATGTTGTTCTGAGTATCCATATTTCCTAGTGTACATGTACAAAGGTTTTTCTAAGGTTAATCTAGAAAGGAAATGACCAGATCCCGGTGCACTTGAACTTCACTGGCAAAGCAGTAGTCACACTGAAGTGGCCAGCCCAGCCCCTGTGTGTCTCACTGCATAGCCTCGCCATCACTTGACCTAAAATTCAGACAGACAGACAGACAGACAGGCAGAATATATGTTAGATTCATGAGTTGTGTGTTGTTTAAGCTTCTTGAAAGTAGACTCAGGGAGCTAAGAGGCCCTCCCTTGTTCCAGACTCTGGCATGTTCATCGCAAATGTCCTCCCAAACCTCCACGGCTAAGGCAGTGAGAGAGGAAAGCAGCACACAGCTCAGGGCATGAAGAACATGGCATCCTTGAGAACAGCTAGAAAGCAAACTATTTCCAACAGAGGTGACTGCTGTTTATCCCTTAGTATAAAAATGCTGGCATTGGGATGATGATGGACACTCAACCATAAGAGAAAACTCTCTAACCAAGATTCAGTCAGTAGCTCCAGCTGACTGCTTCCATGGGGGTTCCTCAGTTGATTCTGTGAGACCTTGCAAGCGCCCTTTGATGTTATCAACTGCTGATTTCTTCTTGTTTCTCACTTTACCTGCTAGTCTTAGTTGGGGTCACTATTGGTGTGATGTAACACCAAGACCAAAAGCAGTTTGGGTGGAAACAGTTTATTTGTCTTAGTTCCTGATGCAGAGGTCATGGAGGAGTACTGCTTACTGACTTGCTCACCATGGCTTGCTCAGCCTGCTTTCTTAAGGCACCCAGGACCACCAGCAGTAGGTTGGTCCCTCCCCCATCAATCACTAAGAAAATGCCTTATAGCTGGATCTCAGGGAAGCATTTTCTGATTTGAGGCTCTCTCCTTGTATCAAGTGCACATAAACCATCCAGCACACTGCTTTCTGGCTGCTCCAGTTGTTTCTTCTGGATGTGGTAGGAGCCTGACTTGATGGTGCTTTGCTATATAACCATGATTGCTATTTGCCCTTGCTTGTCCTTGCCACACACTTAACAAGCCCACTCCTCTGAAACCAAAACGTTTGCTATTGTAGATAATCCTCTGAACCATACAGGTGGGTCTGAGATAGTGTTTCACTGTGGATGTAAAATCTTCCCTGACTATAAATACAGATGTACATCTTTCCCCATTTTTATTATGAACCACTTGTGATCTAAAAGACTCTTGACCTGTGCCCAGTTTTCACTTGAGATGGCTCCTCTTTTTCATTTCAGATGGTCTTTATATCTTCTCAATACTTGCTTTATATTTGTTTTGAGACAAGACCTTGCTATGTAGCCCAGACTGACCTTGATCTTGAGAACTTCCTGCCTCTGCATCCTGAGTATTGGGATGGCAGGCATGAGCCACACTGGGCCTTGCTTCTAATTCTTTTCTAAATTATATGTTTGGCAAATATCTTCTCCTAATCTGGGGTTTGCCTTTCATTCAGTTAATAGTCCCTTGAAAAGCATACATTCTCACATTTAATGCAATAAAGCTTCCAATGCTTTTATTTGTGACTTCTGCTTTGTACATCATCTTTAATTTCTTTCCTGTCCCAAAGTCACAAAGACATTCCCAGATATTGACA